CCACATGCCCTTCTCAGATGGAGAAGAGGAAAGAAAACTCAAGACTTGCAGCTTCTGGTCTCGCATTTCTCACACTCACTCCGAGGTCACATTGAAGCTGGAGACACTGAGAAAGACCTGGTGCAGAGCTGGTGGACACAAGGCTCTGTGGCCCCTGACATTTCATGACTCTATGGGACAGAGACCAGCAACCCAATTTGTTTTCCCTTTCCCTGGAACTAAGAAGTGAACCCAAGACTTTTGCATCAAGTATACCCTCAGGCCTCTTTTACATATTATTCTGGTAGGGCTAGGGATTTAGCTTAGTGGCATAAGCCTCTGCCTTGCAAGTGCGTGGTTGTGAGTTCCATCCCTGGTACTGATAAAAAAAAAAAAAAAATTATTCTGGAATGGTGTCCCTTTAAGTTGCCTAGGCTTGACTTGTGGTCCTCTTGACAGCCTCCCAGGGTGTTGGGACAACAAATATGCATCAAGAGTTGCACTGACACAGGAAAGCCATACTCTGGCAAGATGCTACCACCAGCTGACACTGCCTGCAGGACACACCCTACCCATGTGCTCTTACCGAACATTTTTCAGCATGTACAAAACCTCTGACGGCAGGTGAGAATTTTTCACATCAAACTCTGTGAGATCAGCCTCCAGCAGGGAGGGTGGTGGTTCCTTGGGCTGCAGGGTGGGGTATTCCTTCTTGAACCGCAAAATCCTATGAAGCAGAGATGCACTCATCTTGAGTGAGAATCAAGGGGTTCAAAATCAATGTTACAGGTTGGCAAGGTAGCTCAGTGATGAGTGCTTACCTAGTATGCATGGGACAGTGGGCTTGATCTTTGGGACTAAAACAAATATGCATGCATGCATGCATGCATCCAGGTTCCAAGTGCTCTTGAACCCAAGAACATTCCACCTTTAACGCACCCAAAGTCAGAGGAGTTACAGAAGTGGTAAGGATCTTTGTGCCCATCAGAAAGAGAACTCCTGGTACCTTTTGGCCAAAGACAGCACCTTGGTCCTCTTCCTGGCCCGCTGCCGCGGTGCAGCTGTGTTCCCCACAAGCGTATTGGGGATTGTGCTCATCTGCAGAGTCAAGTGAAACGCAGGTCACTGAGCCTGTGAATAGTAAAGTCTGTGCTCCCAGGTCAGCCCTTAGGACCTCAGAGGGGCCGCCCACTATCCTGACACCAGCTTCCAGGGGCCAGCTGTATCCTGACTCACACCTGGCCCAAGACACAGGGGACCAACTGTGGACAAGAACATCCCATACAGCCCCACACATCCATAGGAGAGTCCCTACTGTGCTAAGCAACCAAACCTCCACAGTACCATGGCTCTGTGCCTGGTGGTTTCTTTGACCTTCTGAAGGAGGTGAGAAGAGGCCAGAGGGGCCTCTCAGCATCTAACCAAAGAGTGACAGTGGCCCAACTCAGTCTGTCTATCCCCAGATCAGGGTTCCTTAACCACCAATTTGTTTTCCTTTTCCCTGGAAGTAAGAAGTGAACCCAAGACTTTTGCATCAAGTATACCCTCAGGCCTCTTTTACATATTATTCTGGTAGGGCTAGGGATTTAGCTTAGCAGCATAAGCCTCTGCCTTGCAAGCGCGTGGTTGTGAGTTCCATCCCTGTACCGATTTAAAAAAAAAAATTATTCTGGAATGGTGTCCCTTTAAGTTGCCTAGGCTTGACTTATGGTCCTCTTGACAGCCTCCCAGGGTGTTGGGACAACAAATATGCACCACTGCACTAACTACTACCTACCAGCTCTTGAACCCAATATAAAGGACAGGGATTTGTGTTCAGGAGTTCCTGGGATTGCCACAGACACTGGCAAGTGAGCCATGCAGCTCTTACCTCAGGGCGCACACATGGGTCCTCAGCAAAATCAGGTCCCCCACACCCAGAGGGCTGTCCCTTCCTAGGCACAACCCCTCAGTTTCAGAGATGGCACCAGAAAGCAGCTGTCTGCTTGCCTTTCCTGTTAGAGGTCTGTGCTGCAAAGGCTGTGCTGCATGGGTATGATGAGGCCTCTGATCTCAGGCCTCCTAGACCTTCTCCCCACAGAAGCCCCAACTGCATCCAGGCCAGGTGGGCTCAGTCTGAGGGGTGTTTCCAGTTTGGTTGGTAGAAGAAAACTACATGCAGTATGACTTGTGACAGTCCCCAGCCTGGCACCCATTGGCAGGGGCTACAGAGCCAGACAAATGGCACACAGGGGCCAGGGGCTCAGGGCCTAGCAGAAGACCCTGGGTCTACTGTAGGGTTACCTTTCTCATGATCTTCCGGCCATAAAACATCATTTTGTCCCTTTTCCGGAATCTGTACTGAGGAGGGGGCTGCACCTGTCCTGTGAGAGGTGGAAGGGGCATTGTGAGGTGAGACAGGCCACAAGCTAATGCAGAGCCCAGCACTGGCTGTATCCTGTCCCACCCCTCAGACAGCACACAGACTTGTCTCAAAAATGCCTCTGATGAGACCAGAAGTTGCAGCTGTGCCCAGGCTGCAACAGATTCAGGCACCAGAGGGGTCTCTCAGGAGCTCAAACCAACTATGCCACACACACACACAGATACACACACACACAGCCCTATCCTCCCCTAGGGCCAGGGTTCAAACCAAGATACTCACGAAATCCGTGAACCCTTCTGTACACAAACAAGATAGCAACACCCACAAAGACGAGGGCCAGAAGGACTCCAATCATAATCCCTGTCAGCTAGGCAGAAAAGACACAGAGCTTGTTGCCAAGGCCAGGCATGGCCATAACCCACAGAGACCCCCAGGAAAGCCCTGTGGTTACCATGGTGGGCTGTGGCTCCTCCACAAACCATAGACCCCAGGAGTGCAGGGTGGGGCCCAAACATAGGCCAACCTGGAAGGAGAGCAGAGTCAGGTGGACAGAAGGGCAGTTGGGCTTCCCAGACCTGGGCAGGAGGTAGAAAGTGGACAGCCAGACTAAAGGTCAGCAGCCTGCAGCCCAGAGCAAAGCAACAAGGCCAGGACACTAAAGTACACTGTGTCAGCTGCAGGGGCACCTGTCTTCCTCAGGAATGAGGTGGGCTGCCACAGCACAGGCCCTGTGCACCATCAGTGTGCCTGAACCCTGGGCTCTGCAATCCACAAGGTGCAAACCATGGGGCAAGCCCTAGGTACAGGGGAGGCCAAGACCTAGACACCAATAGGACCTGGGATGCCAACTGAAGGATGCTCCCACAGCAGCAGGGCTCAGAACACCTGCAGGAAGCCATGAGGTCACTGAGCCTTGCATTCGGTTTAGTCCCAGCTACTTGGAAAGCTAAGGTAGGACTCATTATTTGAGTTCAAGGAGTTCAAGGCTAGACCGAGTGACACAGTAAGACCCCATCTCAAGAAAGGAGGGGAGGGAAAGGTAGGAAAGGACAGAAGAGGGAAGGGGGGAACCTCAAGGAACCATCTAGAATGTCCTTATACCAAGAAGAAACAGGACAAAGGCTCTATGCCTCTACCCTGCTGCCTGCAGATGGGTGCTGACAGGCATCAGAAGTCCAGATCCACAGGAGGACAGGTGAGGGGACAGGCAGGGCATAGGCAGGAAAGTAAGTGTGGGTCCAACAGAGGAAGCTGCTGATTCCTGCAGGCTGGAAGTTGAAGAGGGACAGAAAGCAGCCACCATGCAGGGCCTCCATTCCTCACCCCAGCAGCCAGACACTGATGGAGTAGGAGAGCCACTGGTTAATCCTGTCCAGTTTCTATAAAGGTACCAAGGACCAAAGCCCAGCCTTCAGGAAGCCAAACCTCAGACATGAAACCACCTCGGAACCCTGGAGAAGGGCACTCAGGAAAGCATCCCCAAGGCACTGTTTGGAAGTATGAATGGGTGTCCAGAAAACCCAGTCTGTGCAGTAGGTTCCAGAGACAGTCATGCATCTCTTAAGGACAGGATGTATTCGAAACATGCATTATCAGGTGATTTCATCATGTACAAACTTGTGTCCCAGAGCACACATTCATAAAGGAGACTGCAAGGACCTCAGCTGGGACCACTGCCACACACAGTCTCCAGATATGGCGGGATTTTATCAAAGGCAAGGCTTTTGCTTCAGAACTGAAGCACCCAGCCTCCTAGTCCTGCACCCCGGCTTGACTCTCAAACAACAATCAGGCTCACAAGAGGGCCAGGCCACAACCCTAACTCCCCTGGGTCCCTCTGAACACTTGTAAGTCTGCTTATCCAAGGAAAGGCTAAAACCACTCCCACAGCCTGCAATGGCAGAGGGTCAGCATGTCTAACTTTGCACTGCTGTTTTAATGCTATTTTCCAGTTTAAAGACAAAGTCATTTGGGATATGGCTCAGAGTTGGATTGACAAAAAGATCCTGAGCAAAGTGAATGAAGTTGCAAGGAGATGTGGGAAATAACTGTGACCTTAGGGGAACAGACAACAAAAACATGTCCAACAGCTATGTCCATGCTGCCTAAGCACAGCTGTCAGCAAGTGTTTGTCCCCTGACAAGGCACCAGGCCCTATGCCAGCCCACACTCCTCCTGCTCCAAGGGTTTGAGGTAAATCAGAAGGTGGAGAAGCTGCCCTCCAGCCAGCAGCAGTCCTAAGGGGGTTCTCTCAGCTTCTCTTGGGTCTGGTGCACCTACCTCCGGGCAGAAGCCTTCCTGTTCCTGCATGGCTGACAAAGGAACACAGTCCAGAGTTAAAGGACACAGGGGTCACCGCCTATTCGCCCAGCCTTCTTGTGCCTGTCCAAGTCATACTAGGTTCCCATGCAGGGAAGCTCTCTGGAGAAGAGCAAGCTGTGGGAGAAGCAACCAAGTCCGCTGCCACCTCCCGTAAACAGCACTCATGTGGCTAGGAACTGGACAAGCCAGGCACTAGCTCTCTCCCCACAGCCAGCGTTGGAGCTAGGCCCAGTGCCAGGGCTGGGTTGGGACAGGCAGTCCAGGGCCAGTTCCAGCTGGGGCAAAGGGTGTGACTAGCCCACGGTTCAGGAGAGGCAAAGCAAAAAGGCTAAGGCCAGGTGAAGAAGGGTATGGCCGGAAGCGGGCAGGACTAGAATGGGGAAGTCACGATAAGGATTTCAGGGGGTTCCAGGTTCAGGGCACAGGTCTTCACTAGGCCTGCTCAGGGCAAGGGGGATGGGCACACAGGGCGGCACCCTCTTGGTATCCAACACTGCACCAAAGGAGCATGAACGAGGGGCAGGGAAGCAGGGGATTTAGCTCAGCAGCATAAGTGTATGCCTGGCAAGTTCAAGATTGTGAGTTCAATCCCCGTACCAAAAAAAGGAAGGCGGGGAGGACACCCCAAAGAGTGAAGAACATTGCTGAACGTGGAGGGACTGAAGGACACCACAAGGCGCAAGGGGAATAGGAACAGGAGTAGCGCTACGGAAGGTAAGGGGTACACCACCATAGGAAGGTCAGGGGACATAGAGGGGGTGAGGAGACACCTTGCAGAGTGAAGGGGACAATGAAGGAGGTGAGGGGAACACCGCGAGCCGTGGGAAGACACTCTGGGGCTCTCTGGGGACACTGCAGAAGGGCCCCGTGAGCAGCGATGGTCATGCCGACTGGGCGCGGAATGGAGCAGCGAGAGGGGAGAGAGGGCGACACTTCCCCCCCAATAGGCGGGACCGGAGATGCAACCTCCTGGCGCTGGGCGGTGACTCACCGACCCGCTCCCGACACCCGCCTCCCCGTGCGCGCCCCCGACGTGCCTGGCGTGTGCGCTCCCGGCACTCCGCCCATCTCTCCACGCATTGGCGGGGGCTCCAAAGTCCCGCCCCTTTCAGAGAGGCAGCGCATTGGCGTGACGGCGACCAATCTCAGCTCCCCTTGTTGCTCGGTGGCCCGGAGCGCTTTGTGGTCGCAGTGAAGTGACCCATCCGCGGTGCCATTTGGAGAGTTGTGAGAGCCGCTGGCCCAGGTCAGTCCTTTCTTTTGCATCTGATACGGCGCCTCCTTCGCCCTTAGGATCTAGGATCTTCCCTCGGCCTTCTGCACTCTGGGCTGGGTCCAGGCGTCCTCTCTGTCCTCGGGGTCTGGGATCCTCCGGGCGGGCATTGTTCCTCTCGTCAGCCCTAGATGTGGGTCTTTCTGAGCATTTTCCTCCCACAGGGCACAAGATGGGCTTCCTGACCACAGTGACACAAGGCCTGGTGCGAGGAGCGGACCGAATGAGCAAGTGGACAAGCAAACGAGGGCCCCGCACCTTTTACAAGAGCCGGGGTGCCAAGGGTACGGGCTTCCACGCCCCTGGCTGGAAGTTTGTGCAGATAAAGGAACAGGTCCCAGAATTTATCGTCCCAAACTTGACTGGCTTCAAACTCAAGCCCTACGTGAATTATCGCGCTCCAGCAGGCACAGACACCCCTCTGACAGCCAGAGCTCTCTTCATGGAAACAGTTGCCCCTGCTATCGAAAAGGACTTCAAGGAAGGCACTTTTGATCCTGACAATCTGGAAAAGTACGGCTTTGAGCCTACCCAGGAAGGCAAGCTCTTTCAGCTGTATCCCAAGAACTTTCCACGCTAGATTCCGGTGATCATAGCTTTGACTGTGCTGACCCGGTCTCAGACTGTGAGTTCAGAGAAATGGAGCTCCCCTTGTGGCATTTCTATCAAACACCCTTCCTGCTGTCCAGTGTGTCTGGCATCAAGTGGTTGGCAGTTTGCCACCTAATAGATCCTGTGTAGTTCATACAGAGGTCCCATACAATTGTGGTGACAGAGCTGCAGGCATGCCCATGACAGCTTACCCCTGTGAGACAATTTTCTAGGCAGGCCACCTAAGGCAACACTGCCTAATTCATTCCCCAAGCAACAACTGGTGTATTCCTTATAGACTCCAAGACAGTGGATATTTTTATTTTACCGGATAAAAAGTAATTGCTCCCTTGGAAAAAACCTAAAGAACAGGCTGCACAGGAACTTGTGCCAAATTGGTCTCTGCTGATCAGTGTCTTGTTTGCTTCTTTCAATCACAATCCCTCACACTTGCATTCCACTGAATACTTAGCTGTCCCTTACTTCAGTCCATCACACTCTAGGCCGGTATGCTGATGCACAGCTAAATCCAGCAATTGGGAGTCTGAGACAGGATGATCATCCTGGATCCCTGAATTTAAGGCTGGCCTCAACTGCATAGTGAGACCCTGTCTCAAAAACAAAACAAAGAACACTCTAGTGAAGGGCCCAACGTGTTTGTAGTTAAAAAAAAAAAAAAAAAAAATGGACCAGCTGGGCTTGGTAGCACACACCTATAATCCCCAGCACTCAGAAGGCTGAGGCAAGGAGGATAGTGAGTTCTAGGTCAGCCTACGCAACTTAGTGAAACCTTCTATCAAAAAACTGTAAAACAGGCTGAGACAATATAGCTTAGTGATATAATACTTGTCTAGCAAAAGGATGGATGAGGGTTCAGTTCTTGCTCCCAAAAATAAAAGGGCCATTAGCTGGGAATTGCTGCTAATTGAAAAGTGTAATCAGTATGGCCTACATTGGCACATCCTGTCATCAGAAATAATACAAGGGTAGAACTGCCTGTTCAGTGCTCTACTGTGGAGGTGCTGAGGCTTGAAACTCAGCTGTCAGCCTGGCTCACTTTCTCCTAGAGACAACATTGTGTGGGAGCCAGAAGGGTCACACGCCTGACCTGGGTTCCAGTTGCTGTGGGTCCAGGACTTGAAAGCCCATCAGTTTGTTAATGCAGTTAGTGTCCCACATTGCCTCCACCTGCTTCACAAGTATAACCAGTTCAGAAGTACACATGGACCTCTTCCTTTTGCTCTACCACAGGTAGAAGGTGGCCTTTTCATGTGCTTGTAAAGATACTTGGAGGCTGGGGGTGTATCTTATGTACAAGTCCCTGGGATTGATCACCACACCAAAAGAAATTCATTCTGGGGGCGCTGGGGATATAGCTCAGGGGCACAAGTGTGAGATCAGTGAGTTCAATCCCTGGCACCAAAAAAAAAAAAAGAAATACAAAATTACTTCTGATGTTATGAAGTAATTTTTTTTTCCAAACAACTTTATTTAATTAATATAAATAGTTGCTTAACACATTGTGAAGGGCTGAGAGTCAAAATGTACCCAAGAAACTTTATAATTTTGGAGCTGGAAAATCCCACTCACTGCCAAAAAGAATCATCCAGTCCATTCCCAACTGCCCAGCACAAAGAGCATCACTCTTGGTATATATAAGTCTCTTATGACCTCAAGCTGAGCTGGCCTCCCACTTCCAGAGGTGGAGAGCATGGTCATAAAACGAGCAAGTAGCCAGAAGCCTGATGTCAGAGTTCACCCCTTCAAGGTAGAGGTCAGAGTCACAGAACTTAGCTGGGGTATGTGGTTGGCTGCTTCTGTTCCATGCATCCTCTGTGGGCAGCAAGAGAAAACAGCAGCTTCACCCAGCTGTCATCTCCGGCACCACCCTTGCCATCCTCACCCTGTTGTCTGCTTGGGAAGGCACCAGTGGCTCACCTGCAACTTTCAGGCCACAGACATGGTTTCCTACATCACTGGCAGGAAGGGACACAGAAGGCACTGGCTCCAGGGAACAGTAGAGCCAGGACCAGTCAGCCCCATACACCAGTGAGTTAGGCATCTTGTGGGACTCCAATACCGTCACTTCCTGCTTCTCTGGAGCAAGAAAGAACAGAGCACGGCATTACCCCATGGGCCTTCGGATCAGCTAGGGCTACAGAACACAGGGCCCAGGGAGCTAGACCTCAATTCAGGTTCATAAGCAAAAGACAAAGCAGCAGCCAGGTGGGAAGGAAGGGACTGACGAGAAATGGAGTAGATACATGGTACAGCTCAGGGGGACCTGCAAGTACAGTGCCAATGACATGTGGCTAGTCCAAATCAAGCAGGTTCTCTTCCTTCGTGTGATCCCAAAATGGTGACTTTCTGGAGAGCTCATGGAGCAGCTCGGAGGCTGGAGAAAGGGCCAGAAATAGGCCAACAGTTCCTATGGTACACAGCTTTGAGGGTGCAGAAAAACATTTGGCCCAGAAAGAAAGCAACTAGCCAAACCTAAGTGGGTGGAGCACCTGCCAGCACAGCCAAACGAGTCAAGGTGGCCTCTGACATTAGTGGCAGGTGAGCCAAGGAGCCCACCTGAGGACCAAGCACTGCTGCCAAGACCTCTAATGTAGTGATCAGAACCGAATCCAGCATGGGCACTGGAAGAAAGGCCCAGGGCACACAGGAGACCAAAGCCCAGGAACCAGGCTGGATTGCACAGACCTGCAAGGATCCAGGCTACATGGAAAGGTGTTGAGCACTCAAGGGTGCAGGGAGCCCCACATTTGGGAGCCTTCTCAAAGAATCTTTCCAGAGACAAGGACCCCAGGGGGGAGTCAGCACCACCAGACTGAGGGCTCAAGGTCCCTTAATTGTGGCTGAGATAAAGAAGGAGCAGGCGGGGCCAAGTCAGAAACTGGTGGTCAGTATTATAGGGCTGAAGTATAGCTTAGTAGTAGAACACTTGCCTGGCATGTGAAAAGGCCATGGGCTCAATATCTAGCACAGGAAAAAAAAAAATTGAGCAGAATATGGTAGTACACATATGGTCCCATTACTCAGGGGGCTGAGGCAGGAAGGTCATTTGAACCCAGGAGTTTGAGTTTAGTCTGGGCAGCACAGCAAGATCCCCCAAAATTAATACATTAGATTTTTTTAAAAAGCTTTTACATGCATATACACATCCCTGCACAAACACACACATCACACAGTGGGAAAATCTGACAACAAACAAAAAATTTCCAGCGCAAGTCAGGTGGGGTAGCACAAACGTTCAATCTCAGCACTCAGAAGGCTGAGGCAGGACAATCAAAAGTTTGAGCCTAGGGGCTGGGGATTTAGCTCAGCGGCATAAGCGCCTGCCTTGCAAGCAGGCAGTCGTGAGTTCGATCCCTGGTACCGATAAAAACGAAAAAGACAAAAAAAAAAAAAAAAGTTTGAGCCTAGTCTCAGCAACTTAGTACTTAGTGAGATCCTATTGCAAAATAAAAAACAAGGGCAGGGATTTAGCTCAGCCGCACAAGCACCTGCCTGGCAAGCATGAAGTTGTGAGTTCGAGCCCTGGTTCCAATCAATCAATCAATCAAGGCCCAGGGACAGCTCAGTACAAAGGCCCTGGATTCAATCCGTAGTACCTGGGGGGAAAATATTCCCAGTTCAGAAAGTGCTCTAAAACCAAGAAGCAAAAAGATTAGGAATCAAAGAGAAAAGCAGGCAGAAAGATAATTTAAAACCAAAAATAGCCAGTGGTGGTGGTGGCACACATCTGTAATCCCAGCACTCAGGAGGCTAAAGCAGGATTGCTGTGAGTTTAAGGCTAGCCTGGGCTACAAAGCTAGCTCAAGGTCAGCCTAAACTGCATAGTGAGACCCTGTCTCAAAAAGACAAAAAAAAAAGGGGGCTGGGAATTTAACTCAGCAACTCAAGAGCTTGCCTGGTAAGTGTGAGATTGTACCCTGGTACCAAAAGGAAAAAAAAAAACATATATGTATGTATGTATGTGTGTATATATATATATATATATGTATATATATGTATATATATGTATACATATATATATGTATGTATGTGTGTATATATATATACATATATATATATATATACCAGTCCTTCAACATATGAAAAGTAAAGAATTTCACTCCTAATTTCAGATGTGAATATTTAAACTACTGTCACCTATGAAAGCCGGGGAGCCTGTGCTGTGGGTAAGGCCACGCTGGGCTATTGGAGCAAACCAGGCTCTCGTTTACCTCTGTCCCTGAGTCCACTGGAGACAGTACCTCAAAGGGCATCTCTCCAACCAAATGCAAGCATATGCAAAGCAAAGTACTCAGGAACCATTATTTGCTATTGTAAAACAATAGAAAAACCTAAAACCTATACACAAACCTAGATGAGTACATGAAGTGCAGGATACTGTTATAACGTCCCGGGGAAACTGAAATGGAATGGCAGCAAGATTTTCTTTTCATCTTTGAGGTGCTGGGGGTCAAATTCATGAATGCTGGCAAGCACTCTGCCACTGAACCACAGCTTGTATTCCTAAGGTTATTATTTTGTTCTTCCATATTTTGAGGCAGAGTCTCACTGTGTTGCCAATGCTGATCTCAAACTCCTAGGCTCAAGTGCTGCTCCTGTCTAACCTCCTGAGTGATGGGATTCCAGGAGCACAACACTGCACCCGGCTAAATTATAATACTTTTGTTTTGGTACTGAGAATTGAACTCTTGTACTGAGCTACATCCTCAGCCTTTGTAAATTTTGTTTTTGTTTTTTGTCTTTTTCCTTTATCGGTACCAGTGATCGAACTCACAACTGCCTGCTTGCAAGGCAGGCGTTTATGCCGCTGAGCTAAATCCCCAGCCCCAGCCTTTGTAAATTTTGAGACAGAATCTCATTTACTGAGCTGGGGATTTAGCTCGGTGGCATAAACACCTGCCTGGCAAGCGCAAGGTCGTGAGTTTGATTCCCAGTACCAAAAAAAAAAAAATCTAATTTACTAAGTTGCCCAGGCTGGGCTTCAACTTCCAGTCTTTCTGCCTCAGCCTCCCAGAAACAGACTATGTATTTAAATGAAGTGAGCAAAGAACAAAAGAAAGGTATATAGAATGTTATATGTTTGTTTGTTTGACACAGGCTTTTACTACATAGTCCAGGCTGGCCTTGAACTTGTGTAGCCCAGGAAACTTCCAGGGCATACGTGGTTTTTTGTTTGTTTGTTTGTTTGTTTTTGAAACAGAATTCACTATGCAATTCAAGATAACCTTGAACTCACTGTCCAGGCTGGAACAAAACTCATGGCAATCCTCCTGCCTTAGCCTCCCATGTGCCACCATACCCTACTCAGATCCTGATTTCTAAACAGCATTTACCACTAGGAAGATGCAAGACTCCCTGGAAAAATAATTGATTACAAGATTGGGACTGAGAAAATACAAAATGAACCTGGAATGTACTGTACCAAAAAGGAAGCACATGTTCAAATAAACAATGGGACATGAGCAAAGAAGAGATGCCAGCCTACAGAGCCTTTCACAGGAAGACTCTGGACAGCTTGAACATTATATGACCAGGGCAATAATGGATTAGAACCCACTGAGTAAGAAAATAAGAATCCATTAAGCTGGGTGGGTGGTCCTGAGACAGGACTGCTGCAAGTTCAAGGCCAGTTTGAACTACATAACTAGACTCTGTCCCAAAACAAAACAATAAAATAAAATAAAAATAAATGCAGGCAGGTATACGAGAGAGGAGAAAGTCCAACCTTACAAAAAACTGCAAAGCAACACTCCTATAGAAGGCAGGAGTCACCAGTTCTCAAAGTCATAACAACTCATTCAGGCAAGACTCAAGCCAGGAAGGAGCAGGCATTGGAATAGATTCATTTAGAGGAGGACATGAAAGCCAGGAGTGGCAGTGCACACTTGTAATCCCAGTACTCAGGAGGCTGAAGCAGGAAGATCACTGTGAATTCAAGGGCTACATAGTGAGACTCTGTCTACAGGGGAGACCTGGCAGATGCCATCTTCACAAAGGGGCCAGAATTCATTCCCATGGGCAGCCAACATCTCCAGCAGGAGGCACTGGGAGGATGAAGACTACCGACAAAAAGTAGAAATGATGCAGACAGGAATAGAAAAGGATAAGCAGTTAGTACACTGTATCAGCCAAATCGAGTTTGAAACAAAAATGTCACCAGGCATAAGAGATACGCTAATGAGAAAAGGGTGAACCAGGAGCAGATGGGGAAATTACACCCACATCACTGAACACAGAGTCTTAAGACACAGAAATGCACTGGCAGAAAGCATGGGGAAAGAGATGTGCAGACTCAGACCCCACCTTCACATCGACCCAGACAGTAGGCCTGGCCACAAGCACAGACCATAGCCCTGTGGACATATGCTCTTCTCACGCAGGTGCCGGGGAGCTGCAGGGCAGACAGAAATCACAACTCTACACAGTCTGCTCATAAACAGGCCTGGTCTACAGAGAAATCACAAGGGAGACAGCAAAACACCTGTGACACGTGCGAGACTAATGATCTGACAAACTGAAGTGTTCAGGATGCGGCAAATGTGGCACTCAGAGCAAAAGGGCACTGTGAGCAGTACGAAAAGATAACAGACATCAGCTGTTTTAAGCTACAGCAACTGAGCAAGCAAGAAAAGGCAGGAAGCAAAAGAGAGGCACACAGCCAGGGTAGACATAGGAGGTGGCGGATGGCTAGCAGTAGACACAGGACAGGGGACACGAGAAACAGCCTAGATGTTGGCAGTTCATGCTAGAGACGCCACAGCATCTATAATGGATTGGTAACTGGTGGTCCACTTAAAAACCAGCTGAACTGAATCAGTGTGGTGCTGAGTGTGGACGGCCCACCTGAGGGCTGCTGCCAGCATGCAAAGGAGCCCGGAGAGGAACAGTGGCGCTGTGAGTTCTCCTAAGTGTTGCCGTTGTCTGGAGCCGCTGGCTTTTCTGGAGGAGCTCATCATGCTGGCTCCCCTTATACGAACTCGGCTATTATCATCAGAGGAGCTCGGGACCTTGTCACTGAGAGTGGCTGCGGTTCACTTTGGTCCTTACTTTGAGTGTTGTTTCCAGGCTCCAAAGCAGAAGATGTCTGCTATTTAAACTCCAGGAGAAGCTTGTCATGCTGGCTTCCTGATACATATTCAGCCATTCTCACAGTCAGAGAAGCTCAGAACCTCATTGTTGCTGAGAATGGCTAGAGTACTTTTCATGGGAGCCCTGGTTCTTATTTTGAGTATCATGTCTTGGCTGCAGTATAGAACCCTCAACCTACTGGCAAAGATTCTTCACCCTGCTGGCACAGATTTTCTAGCTTCACTGCTGCCTCTGGGCCTTCCCCGCGCAGATCTGTGGGACAGACTTGCATGGGTCATTGTCATGGGCTCTGGGTCTTCAGCTGAACTCATACAGGTTATTGCCATGGGATGCATGCCTTCTGAAGGATTTTCTAGGTCTTTAGTGATATGGACAGATTTCCTACACTTTCTTTGTAGTTAATTCCTTGGGTGACTGTTATAAATAATACTATAAATTATGTGTCCTGTATGTAACTGTTCTCCTTGCAACCCCTGACTACAGCAGCATCCTCGGAAGTAAGGTGCTGAGAGCTGGGCTCAGCAAATGCAGAGCTCTGCCCAAGCACTGGGTGTGAGCAGAACTTGGGCCCAGAGTCCACAGCAAGAACTGAGGTGGGCTGCATGAAAATGACAAGAGCCAGTGTCCTGCAAGGGGCCCAATAGGCCAAAAAGCTACAGACTGTAGGAGGAGCCAGATGGCTTAGAGGAGAAGCAGGTGAGAGTGTGTATGAAATCTGAAGTCTCCCATGGATGCAGAGGGGAGCAATGAGGTTGGGATGAAGTGGACAAAAAACCCAGCCAGCTGCACATTCCCACATACCTGTGACTTCAGGGCAGTTGAGGATCGCAAATCCTTGGTGCATGCAGGCCGCCAAGAGGAGGTCTTGGTGGAATGGATGCCACTTGAGCCTCCATACCCCACCATGCACATGAGCATCTGCCAGTGGCCGTTTCATGTTCCGTGTGTCCCACAGGAACACGTGCTCATCGTAGCTGGAAACATCCACCCAGAGCATATGGGACCAGTGGTCAGTCCTTCCCAGATGCAGGACACCTCCCAGAAGAGCCGTTCTGTTCTTCCTGTCCCCTCTGCCTACCCAGATCCCTGCATAGTGAGCCACAGGCACGTGGAAGGGCAGGCACTCACCTCCCCGTGGCCAGGATGTGCTCATGATGCAGGCTGCTCTGGATGCTGCACACGCCCATGGTATGACTGCAGACAATAGCCAACCTGAGCACTGGTGAGGCAGGAGCCTGTGGGCTGGGTCCTGAGTCCCCACTTGCTGACCCTGGGCAGTTACCTTGAGCTGGTGAAGACACATGAGCCAGGGGTCCTGATGTCCCATCCTTTCAGGAAGCCATCATCTCCCCCTGTGTTGACACAAGCCTAGTGTCATGGGACAGCTAGCAAGGGACAGCTGAGTGTCTGTGAAGTCACCCTGGGGTCCTGTCCCTGAGGTCAGGATGCCCTGGAACAGGAGAGCCCCCAGAGAAAGCAGGAACAGCTACCACTGCACCTACTTCAGACTTCAGGAGGGCTGGGAGAGAAGAAACATGACACCCACAGAGTTACAGGAAAGGTGCCAGATCAAACTGGCCAGGCTGCCTACTACCAAGCTCAGCATCACAATCCAGCCTGTCTAGGCTGGCCCCTGACAGGGAGCTGCCTACAGGGAACAGCAGACCAGAGCATACACCCCTGGGCTGCAATGGGAATTCCCTTGGTGACCCACAGGGAAAACAACCCCAGGCTGGATTGAAGAGAACCACAAAGGATAAAAAGCAGGGATCTGGCACGCTGACCCACAACCAGTCTGAAGACCAGCAACACCCAGACAGGGTGGTAGGTGGCAGCAGAGGGAATGGAAGAAGGGCTGAGAAGCAGGGCCCACGGGGAAGGAGGGGAGGAAAACATCAAGGCCTGATGACCTCCCTCCCCCAGCCCAGCCACCATCCAGCACTATTTATCCATCCACCCACACAAAAGGGGTCAGACTGGCCAGCACATTGTTGCATATCTATCAGCCTGAGGCAAGAGGGTCACAAATTCAAGGCCAGACTGTCCAACCCAGGGAGACCCTCTCTGAAAAGCAAAGGTCTGTAAATGTAGCTCAGTGATAGAATTTTCCTGGGTTCCATCTCTAATATCCTCCCCCCAAAAGGGGAGTGGGGATTAGCTTTTTTCTTTGGCTCTTCACAAATTGGTGGCTCCTGTTCTGTTCTCTTATGAAGCCTAGCACCTCCACCTCCTATGAATTATCTTCGCCTATGCAAGAGGAGCTCTCTGAAGCTGCTCAGCTGCTAATTTCTCATTGTACACTGGTTTCCCCAAAGTACAAACCACTCAAAGGACCAGAAAATTCACCTCATTTCTTTCATGCTTTCTTTTCCTTCAGAAGGTAAACTACAGCCTGAAATCAAAGAAACCAGCAGCCGGAAGAAGTGTAGAAACTGAGAATGGCACACAGGCCGAGTGGAGGCAGGTAGCATGGCTTCCTATGGAACAGTAAGCACTGCTGGCCACAGCCACTGACTCAGGGAACAGAGTCTCGATGCAGGCTGGAGATGCCTCAACCCTTGCCAGATCCCTTATTCTCTGCCGCCCTTGCCCATCTTCTCCATTGTGTTGCAGTCATTCCCACCATGACCACATTCAGCAAGGGACACTGACCAGAATACACAACTTCTGTCTGCCAGTAGTTGAAAGCAGCGACCCAGGCCTCAAAGTGATGGGCCTGCCATGTGGCTACCTGCTGCAGCCTGGGCCCCGCCTCATCCAGCACAAGAAGGTGCAGCTGCCCCTTGGAATCACTGCTGATGATCTTCAAGGGCTGGTCACTGGGCCTAAACATGAAGAGATGAGGGAGCCATCAGCTTCTCCCAACAATGTTACCACCATTCAATTAGCATGCTAGGACTTTCCTGGTTTTTAGATCAGGACTAGCTTACACACAGGAATCAGCTGTCAGAGAAAAGACAGAGAGGGCCCCCTCACCAAGCTTGGGCCTTACCTTCCACGCTTCCCTGTGGACCAATCCAGGGACAAGGCCAGACGCTCCTCCCCCAGAGAAAGGCTGGACCAAGGTTCCAGGAAAGGTGTGCTCTCCTACTAGAAAGAAAGGAGCCCTGCACAGGCGAGCCTTGTTCCACTGATCCCTCCCCAGGTGGGCACGAGGCACAGGCCACTCCCAGTCTGCTACATGCTGGGCACTGGGCAGGGTTTAAGACCCTTGTACTCAGCCAACTTCCCCACACATGAGAGCAAGGGACAAGACAGTCTCTTGCTTCACCATCTGTGTTCTCTCACACATGACACTACTTTCTGGGCTTGAAAGGGTACGTGCAGGCTTCCAGGGACCTGGCCCATTCAGTCTTCAAAGATGGGGACAGTGGGAACTTTCATCAGCTTCTATTTCAGAAGCCACGATAGCCATTCAAATACTACTTCCCTCGCCTAAGACCAGTGGGTTTTACTACCTAAACACCTGACAGTGGTGACACTTTCAGCAGCCACCCAGTGGGGTTCAAATCTCCTTATTGGATGTACTTGCTTCTGCCTGAAACCTGGTCTTGGACATTTCATTCCCTCACCTCTAGAATGAACAACTGCTCTGGCCCTTGTTGCCTAGGCCCTCGACACATCAGCTCAAGGGACCTTTGCCCAGTTTGACTGCAGCTCCTGCCAGTGTATCCCTGACTCCCTGTTAGCACGTGGTAGGGACAGGCGACATCACAGTACTCAGGAGGCTCCCTGTTCCCCACCATCTCTCGAAGGATGAATTCATTCTGCCAAAGCATAGTACAGGATCAGGTCACCATGGAAATTCAGAAACTGATCACACAGGAACTGGCTGCTCTCCTGGAAGATCTTTCATACATGAGTACCACTGCCACTCTCAGGCCCAGGATCAACCCTAGACAGCCCTGCCCCACTGTCCCTGCAGAACCTCCAGCCCACAGAGTAAAGAGCTTGTTGTCGCTCTTCTGCAGGGCACATAAGGTCACCTTCTCTCACTAGAACCCAGTACAACTTAAAGAAACCCTGAGCCTCTTAGAATGTTCAGGACACTTCCAGCACTAAACAGACCGCTTTAGGGAGCCCCCTCCTCAGTCCTCTCCATCCACAAGCCAGACACTCACCTCAGACACCACCAGGCGGAGCAACTGTACACACCCACTGGCATCTGCCACAGCCAAGACGCCACAGCCAGCCACCAGGATGTGGCACCTGGGGACAGAGTGCACTGTCAGAACCCAGCAGCATAGGGAGCATTTCTATCTTGGGATTTTTCATTTAGTTTCAGCTCCAAAGCCAGTTGGAACCCACAATCCAATAGCCAACCCAAAGGGTTCCAGGCTTACAGGGTCAGAACTCCTTTTGCCTCCCGGAGTGATCCTCGGTCTAGCCTAGGAAACAAGGGCAAGAAGCCCCAGCCAAGCATCTACCAGACCACCTGACAATAGGAGGGTGGGATGGCAAGAAGAGACCACAGTGTAGGAGAAAGGTTCTTGCCCTAGTATAAATTACTGTACAATTATGGTGGTGGTCTAATGTGGCAGAAGGCCAAAACAAAAACACTTACCACTTCCTGCTTCTTTTTCAGCCCTAATTGCAAATCCCCTTCCCATTTGCTCGCACAGAGAATTCCAATCGGTTCCTCATAAATTATCAATATCCACCCCATGCACTACTTCTGATCAGAGGTCATATAACCCTCTGCCTCTCTGTATCTCGTCGAAGGAGACAGCCCAAACCATAGGTTGTTTGCTCCTTTCCACATCCTCAATAAACCTGTTCGTTTTGTACTTTTACTTCTGTGCTGCGCCAGAATACTCTAACAGTAGGTGTTTCCCATCTTGATGAAGGCCCTCAGACCCAGGTCCCATTACATGAACATTTAGATGCTCCAACAAATACCAGGCCGGATGGGGTGGTTCCCAAGGTAGTACCATTTCAAGTCCAGCACTCCAGACGTATTTCGCCTTTGGACCTCGACCAGGGGATACTCAGAGTCGTCCTCACTGAAACTGTACAGGTAGACGCGGCCAAGACGAACTTGTGGCTGCTCAAACACTGGGACCTAAGAAACATACACTTCTGATTACCTTAACAGCAGCCCAGAAACCAGGGGAATCCGGGAAGGCTTCCCAGGTAGGGAGTCTAGAAGCAGAACTCCTCAATCTTAGTGGTCCGAGCTCTCTGGTGTCTGGGCTGGGGCTGTTGTTGCTGGTCCCCCTCCTCCATACCTCTTCCCCCGGGCCTTCGGGAGCGCTCTCGGGGCCGCGCAGCTGGTAGGTGCCGCAGGCCAGCAAGCGCCGACAGCCCTCCAGCGGGCACCACTCCACGGTGTCCGCACTGAGCCCAGTGTCCACAGCCTGCAGCTCCCACAGCCGGGTGCCCGCCATCCAGCCCGCCTAACGCCGCACGCCCCTCCTTACACCTTCCGGTGCGTGGGGCGGGGCTTCTGCCGAGCCAGGCGGGGGGGGGGGGCAGGAGCGGCCGCCCCGCAGGACTGAGGAGATGGGCGAGGGCTGCGGGACGCAGAGGAGCGCGCGCCAGACGGGACCCGAAGCAGGAGCCGCGCGCGAGGCGGGCCACGGCCTGGGAAGGGGCAAGAGACAGGTCCTCCGAGGTCGGAGGCCGTGCAGACGCTGAAGTGTTCCCGGACCAGCCGGGCGTGGCTGTGCTGCAACCCCAGCACTATAGGCCGAGGAAGGAGGATCCCCACGCGTCCAAGGTTAACCAACACTGTAGTGAAACCTTGGGGTTCTGCACGTTTAACTGTGTCTTCCTAAAGTAGATATGCTCAAGACTTAACCCCCAGGATTCCAGAGTGTGACCTTTGTTCACAGCGTGTCTATGGAGGCCAAATTAAAATGAAACCTTAGTCCAGGCGTATGCTGCAATCCCAGCACGTGGGAAGCTGAGGCAAAAAGATCACCCTGAGTTCTAGGCCAGCCTGGGCTACAAAGACTTCAAGGTGCTGGGAGTTTAGCTCAGCGGCATAAGTGCCTGCTTGGCAAATGCGAAATTGTGAGTTCAATCCTTGGTACTAAAAAAAAAAAAAAAAAAAAAGACTATAGTAGTACAGTAAGAAATGAAGGAATGGAGTCACTGCCTTCCCTCCATTCAGCTGTAAACATTTCAACACCCTAATGGTCATTATGCTCCCATAACCCTAAAACAAGAAGTTGTGTGACCCAGCGCCCTTCCTGCCACTCAATCCTAAACACACCACCACCCCAATGGATTATTCAGACTTAAATTTGGAGATCATTTACATCAGTAGAGACAGCAGGAGGCACCTAGCACCAAGGATGTCCGACCCTACAAATACTGGAAGCCTGTGTTATAAACCCCTTTTTTTTAGGGCTGGGGATTTAACTCAATGGCATAAGCACCTGCCTTACAAGCCTGTGGTTGTGAGTTCGATCTTCAGTACCAATTACAAAAAAAAAAAAGGCAAACAAAATCCTTTTTTTCCACTTTGTCCTTCTGCCTATTCCTGCTGCTGCCCTAAAATTTTCAATAAATTTAGTAGATTTGAGGCATATGCTCAATTCTTTCTTTGCTGTACACAAGACCCTGGACCATTTTGGCCCACTCAACTGTAGCATTAGGGCAGATATCGACAGAATGACAGCTATCCTTATGAAGAGGGATATCTGGACAGAAACAGAAGACCAGGGACACAAGACCACATGTGAAAACTAGAATGCATGTCTGCAAACCAAGGGTGTGACCAGAGGCTCACAGAGATGCAGTGTGTGGAACACATTAGAACTCTGGCCTCCAAAGGACAACCCTCCTATTGTTTGAGGTCTCTCAGTTTGTGGTGTCCACACTCTGAGACAGACATCCAGGGGACACCCAGGTAGCCAACCCTTAGACTGAGGTGGAGTTGTGGCTGGAAGTCCAGACAGCAGCAGAGGTGGAGGCAGCGAATGAGTATGTGCAGGGCATTCAGACCAACCTCAGACTCCCATGTCAACCACAGGACACTGAGACCAAGCAGCCTGCCACCAACAGTAGAGGTAGACCCCACCCACCCTGGAGTCCCTGAACACCCTCACATAAGGGATACAAAGATGTCAGGATCCTGAGCTCGAGAGGCTAGGGAAGCAAACAGGAAGGAGAGCAGTATGCAGACCCCACCCCACCCCCAGAGCAGCATCCCGGCTCCCCCCAACACATCAAACTCTCCCCTGCCTGTGGGTTGAAAGCTGGACACTGCTACCCAGTGTCACTTTCTGATGAGGTGATGAATGCAGGGTAGGGCAGTTGTAGTGGGCAGGAGACATAGACACACTCATGTCCCAACCTGACCAGTCCCCTGAAGATTCTAAGACTATTTGACCTGCAGTCTGTGGGACTCATCCAGAGTTGTTAGTTCACCCAACATGACAACCACCCAGGGTCCCTCCACCCCAACTGTCCTGGCCTCTGTTGCACCCTGAAGCTGCAGAATTACTCTTGCTCTAGGATGCCAGCGGTTCAAGCTAACCACTGTGCTGCGGTCACTTGTACCTCCCCTTCCCAATGCTGCTGCCTGAGCACGATCTCATCCACCCAGCAATAAATGACCCTGGCTTTCAGAAAGCATGCACCAAGGGGCCAGGGATTTAGCTCAGCTGCCTAAGTGCCTGCTTGGCAAGGGCGAAGTCGTTGAGTTTGATCCCCAGTACCCCCCACCAAAAAAAAGAAAGCAAGCATGCACCAAGGGGAGGCCTTACTGCAAGTTCAAGGGTATGAAATATTTCCTAAACTTCAAGAAATACCCCAAGGTGATTATGCCACCATTAAGAATTCAGCACATTTCTCTCAGGCCCTGCTCACAGACACAAAAGCCATGAAAAGGCCACCTACCAGGGACACAAAGAGGATCCTAACTTGGCAGAAATGCTCTAGACAGTGGAGGCAAACCTATGCCATGCATGCCACGGCAGGCAGTTCATATCATTGAAAGATCTAAGACTCACCATCACTGGAATAGGGCAACAGACATGGTGGCACACACCTATAATCTCAGCACTATAGGAAGCCAAGGCAGAAGAATCACAAGTTTGAACCCAGCTCGGGCAATTTAGCAATACTGTCTCAAATTGAAGAGAAAAAGAGCTGGGAATGTAGCTGCACGCACAGGGCCTGGGTTCAATCCCCAGTTCTACAAACAAAACATGGAGGATAACGGGCTAGGCCTTATTGTGTAGATGTAAAATATCCCCTGGGATACAGTCTAAGCTCAGGGGTGTAAGTGTCTGCCTGGCAAAGGCAAGGTCGTGAGTTGAGTCCCACTACCAAAATATAAATAAGAGGCTGGGGATTTAGCTCAGTGGCTTAAGCGCCCCCCTGGCAAGCACAAGGTCATGAGTTCTATCTCCAGCACCAAAAAAATAAAATAAAATATCCCCAAGTCTCCTGTGTCCCAGGGGGCTTTTGGAAGGCTGACAATCCCAGGCATGACTCACAGTTCACAGCTGACTGTGCTCTCAGAAGGTAGGGACCGGCCTGGAAAGATGCTCCTCTGCTTTCTGACTGCCATGGCTGAGCAGCTTTCCTGTGCCAGACCCTCTGCCACATAGTTCCCGCCTTGGAGCCAGTCACACATGAACTAAAGCCTCTGAAACCTGAGCCAAAATAAACGTTTCCTCCTTTCAACCCTAACCCTGCATTACAGGCATCAGGTATTTTGGCCCCATGACAGGACAGTGACTAAGACACAGACCAACATGGGGTCACTTTGGGTGGCTGATCAGAGCTCAGGACAGGCAAGATGACAGCCACAAAGCAGAGCTGAATTCCCTGTGACTGCTCTGTGTGGAGATGCTGAGCAGCCCTCAGTTGCTGCCCCCCAGAGAGAGGGAGAAGAGATGAAACCAGTCCAGACTCCAGAGACCCAAAGGCCTGCTGGCCAAGCCCTCTAGATTCTTCTGGGAAGCTCAATGCTTCTGTCTTGGAGGCACTGTGCATAAACCAAGATGAGGCTCTACCGGCACAAAGGTCCAGGGCACCCAGCACACAGGGCCCCCGCCACTGACAGCACTGCCAGCCAACCTCTCAAAAAGGCCCAGCACGCTCTGCTCCTCAGAGGCCTGTGTGGAATGAGGGCAGATCCTCCCAACCCATGCCACATAGCCAATTCCACCCTAAAGCCAGCCTGAACCTAAACTGAATGAAAGGACAGGCAAAACAGAGATGGTTTCACCCTTTACTCTGCCTTTTCACACATAACCTGTGCAGGCAGAAACTCGGCTACATGACAGTTTCTAGACATGTGGCCGACTATTTGCCATTTGAGGATTACAGCAAATTATTCTATTTGTGTTTCTAACCATCCCCTTGTTTCCCTCCCCCCAAAAAAAACTGTACATGAGTTTACAAACATATTAACATATAAATAATGAGAAACGTCCTGGGGAACCTCCCCTTGTCTCTGCTGGAGATTAACACTGGAGGGGCACTGTCCCCACAGACTGCATGTGCCATAGGGAGTTTCACGGTGGCAGTCCTGGACCAGACACTGGCTTCCTCAGCACCTCCAGATTCAACCGCAGTCTCCGCCGTGTCCAAAAGCCATGAACGTGCAGCATGGCAGCTCCATTGCCCGTCATCGTTCTGGCTCAAGCTCGTGCTGGAAGGGACGTTTCCTTTCCCGACAGTGCTTCTTGTGGGCAGGCCAGTCCTTCTGCTGGCACTGGGAGCCACAGTACCGGGCCACCTGGCAGCGCCCGCAGATATTAAACTCCCGGAGCTGAAATATAGATCATTGTGGCTTTATCATGGGGGCTGGGGGCAGACAGGGGGGACAGAACCTACATCTCGGAACTTGGGAGGGCCTGACAAACCCCAAACCCTGGCTGGGGTGCCCTCAGGGACAGAGTGCTTGTCCAGAATGAGAGGCCTGGGTTCAATCCCCAGCACCACAAGCAAACTCAGAAAGATTCATGCATGGGGGCAGGAATGCCCACCTGGGCAGGCACAACACCAAAGGGACAGCCACCCTGAGGAAGAACAATGGAGGCACCCAGGGTCTGCTGGGGTGGAGCCCAGACTGCAGGTGGGTGGCAGGGTAGGTGTGTTGGGCTCTGCGGCACCTGCTTCTCGATGGCTGTGCAGGGTGGGTAGTGGCATTCATAGTAGGTGCAGGAATTCTCCTCCTCTTCTACCACATCCCCGTTGGCATTGTAGTACCGAGTTACGTTCAAGACTGGAAACTGCTCTTCTATGGGGTCTGTGGGAAGCTGCTGAATCGCAAGCCAGTACAAGCTCTGCTCCCTGAAAAAAAGCAGAACCTCAGTGTATGCCTGCCAGACTCAGTCAGCACATGGGCCAGAATGATGTCGGGATACTCCCACCCCAACCTGTGTCCCAACAACCTGACTCCAGCTTAGCACTATGGCCTCTCTGCCCAGTGCCTGTGACTGGACAGAGACATCAGCCCCTCCTGCCCTGAACCTGTAGAACCCCCAGTGGTCCCTGAGCAACCACTCCCCGACACTGCAAGCTGCCCTGTGACCTTCTGAAAACTATTCTTGCCTGGGTGAGCCAGATACCACCAAAAATCACCGTAAGAACTGAGGTCTGGAAAGCACATGCTGTAATGTAAGGTCCCAATAAAAATATAGGACACAGGTAAGCATGCGGTTCTGATTCCCAGAACCAAAACAAAAAACAAGAAACAAGGCATGTAAGCCCTGCCTGGGCTTTAAGGAGGCACAGCGTGTAATCTGGGAGCCAATGAACCCACCTCTCCACCATCCTGCCCTCAATGTGGCTGGCTAGAAGGTCCAGTATGTGGAAAAGGCTCTAGCTGCTTCCTTCCTGAGCCTTCCATGCAGCCTTGCAATTGCACAAATGCTCAGGAGTACCCTCTGGGGGCTCAGAGGACACACAGCACATGGGGTAATCACTGTGCCACAGTGTCCAGTGCCCAGTAAGGGGAAAGCAAAGGAGAAATTCAGAGCCTGAGAGAAGCCAGTGTCCTCCTCCCAGCTGACAAAAGGACCACAAGTTCAGGCCAGCTGGGACTTTACTCCTGGTCTAACACTAACCACACTCAGAGTCTGACCACATGCTCTTGCATTCTAAAACCCATACCTGACAGGTGACCACCCACCTGCAACAGGCTGCCTCTGAGACACAGCCCCACTAGGACTCTTCCCCAAGGAGCCTCAACAGGGCCCTACATCCACTGTGCCTGGCTTGTAACTGTCCCTTCTCCCAAAGGAGTTCGAAACTGCCACTATTGTGTGTGTAGCTTTAAGGAGATATTAACGGGAATAAAGGTAACACTCAGTCACAGCATGATGAGCCACACTAGTGACATTAGGGGCTGCTGCTGCTGTTGTCTACTTCAATGTTAGGAATAGTCCTAAGAGACAATACAACTAGAGGTGATGGCACTGTCCTGGGTTCAATCCCGTGGAGGTGGGAGAGATCAGAGGGAATTAAGTGTCAAAATACTGACTGAGAGCAGGAACAAAACCAGCAGCCAAGGCACTCACTGGCTCTACCCTCACCGTGAGGTCCATGTAGGATGTGATAAGTGTGTAGTTTGCAAAACACCACACAGGCCTACAATGGTGGCACAGGGACCATCACTACCACCTGAGTAGTGCAGGGCTCTGACATGACCCAAAGGCAGAGACTGTAAAGGACCTCCATACACCCCCAAACCCTGAAGCTTAATCATGCTTGTCGCTCATTTGCTACAGCAGTCAGCACTGACAATATCAAGAAAGGCTGGAGCTGGGGATCTAGCTCAGCAGCATAAGTGCCTGCCTTGCAAGCGCGCAGTCATGAGTTTGATCCCCAGTACCAAAAAAAAAAAAAAAAAGAAAAAAGAAAGAAAGGCTGCATTAAGTGGCCAGTAACACAAGTGGGGCTGGGCACCCCTGGGCCTAGCTCACCCCTAAACCTGACCCTGCTGGCTCCTCACTCTTCCCAAGGACTACTTGAGCCTAACAGCTGGGCCAGTCCTGGGCAACTGGCCCTGCACTGCCAAAAGAAAAGCTCATGCAGTATGCAATTCCCAAGACCATGGAGACCCCAGCAGAGGCCATAAGGTCAATCTTCAGAACCACAGTACTCTTGCTTCCTTCACATTAAGGAAAAATTCCCAATAGACTTGTGACAAACAGACCACACATATGCAACAGGAGGAAGCCATAAGGGTGTGGCCTAATACTGGCCCCCACCCACACCATCAAGCTACAGGATCCTACAGCCAATTATCACCTGATCAACCCAAAAAGAGAACCATCAAAATTCCTCCCACATCCGTGAAACCAAGGAGGACTCCATACTTTGGTGTTAAAAAAAATCATGCAGGCCCAAAGGGACACAGAGACAGCAAGGGCAGAGCATGAGGTGCTGCTGGGAAAACTCACCTCTGTTTGCTGGAGGTCTCCTCAGCTTTAGGTCGCCAGCCCCATGGCACCAGCTGCAGGTTGTCCAGGCGATTGTCCACAGTCACAGCATTAAGATGTACCACCTGAAAGCCGGGAGCCACGCCACCCCTGTGACGCTCCCTAGAAAAAGACAACTCCCTAGAGTGCCACCTCCATGTCTCGCAGGTATTTCTGCTTAGGCAGGCAACACTGCAAGTCCAACAGAAAAGAAGCACCAGTCACAGAGTCTGAACTGCCCCATCCTACTGACGAGGAATGTAAAGAGAAACCAAAATCCCTGCCCAGACAGGATGGGACCACATGGATGATTCTACCCTGGATTTAAGGGCTGGACAATGACAGCCACAGTGGAATTCAAAACCCACCTATGCATTCAGCTTGGAGTCAAGCTCTGCATTACGTAGTTCCCAAGCCAAGCACTACGGTGCATATCAAGGAGCAGGTGCCCATGTCCCACTGCCAAACTCAGCATAAGCCTGGTTAAGACCTCCTCTTCTCCAAAAGATCCCTCCCAGCAGAAAGCCTACTTGGTGCCACTACATGCAAATTCACCATTCTTTTCATTAGTGGCAAAGACACAACTCTCAAATCCAGGTGAGGTCAGTTCAGCTCTGCCTGATGGGGGCTCTGCTGCCTGCAGCAACCAGAGCCCAACACAGCCCAGTAGGACTGGTAGAGACAAGGCAGCCAGAAAATACCCACCACAGGCTGGGGATTTAGCTCAGAGGCATAAGTGCCTGCTTGCAAGCAGGCAGTCGTGAGTTCGATCCCTGGTACCGATAAAAAGGAAAAAGAAAGAAAAGAAAGAAAGAAAAGAAAATACCCACCACAGCAGCTCATGGAGGAGCCTGCCTGATCCCCGGCCTCGGTTTTTGTCGAAGGCATATGCAAATATCTTAGCACCATTTCCATCTGCATCTACTTCCATTCGAGCCTGAAAGAAACACGGAAAGGTCTGTTAAAAGCCTCCAATTCTCAGCAATGTTTCAAATCCCACTTAAGAAAATCAAGCAAAGCTGAGTGTGGTGGCATACACTTGTGATCCAGCACCCTAGACTGCTAAGGCAAGAGGATGGCAAGTTTGAACAATCTGGGCAACTTAGTGAGACCCTATCTTAAAGGAAAAAATAAAAAGCAGCTGGGGGGAGCTGGGGATTTAGCTCAGCAGCATAAGTGCCTGCCTTGCAAGCAGGTGGTCGTGAGTTCGATCCCTGGTACCGATAAAAATGAAAAAGACAAAAAAAAAAAAAAAAAAAAAAGGAAGGCAAAGAAAAAAATCAAATGAAATGTACAGCCAAAGGGACAAATTGCATCATAGAGATACTAGAGGCCTCCAGGAGTTCCCACTGACACAGGCCACCAAACATCACGTCCCATGTCCCCAACTGTCCTCCATTCTAGTAAAAAAATCCTCAAGAACAACTCCCTGCAAAATACTGTGGACAAGAAAAAAATACTGTGGAGAAACTGGGAATGGGGATGCATGTCAGTAATTCCAGTACTCAGGAAGCTAAGACAAGAAGATTGAGTTCAAGGCTGGCCTGGACAATATAATAAGAATCTGTCTCAAAAAGATACCATTAAGTTGGGGCTGTGGATTTAGCTCAGCGGCGTAAGTGCCTGCCTTGCAAGCAGGCAGTCGTGAGTTCAATCCCTGGTACCAATAAAAACGAAAAAGACAAAAAAAGATACCATTAAGTAAATAAATAAATGAAACCTATGGATAAAAATGTCCCCATCCTTATATAAGCTCACAATTCAGCAAGGGTGAAACACTCATGGACAAGGTGGACAATTACTGGCTACAGAAGTGTTAGGCACTGAGATGAAAGAGTCAGGACCACTGACCAGAGGGGCCACAGCCACCAGATGGAGAGAGTGGCTCTTAAGATGCTTAGGAAGGGGCAAAGAGGACAGAGGAATAAAGGAGGCAAACACGTCATTCATTTTAACAGGCATCCAATCACAGGCACGACAAAATACAGTATTTTCAAGAGCTAGCAACAGGTGAAAGTGAGAAAGCCCAAGAAGCCTGAAGTTTGACCATGGTGACACCTGAGCATGCAAGGTCTCTAGTTTTCACTATGCAGGGTTGGAAACTCATTCCTCCTGACCCCTCCCTGCACCCAACCAAAGTAGCATGGATACAGATGCTGCCCTCACCTCGAAGGAGTAGCTCTCCACCAACGGGATGTCCTGCTCATCTATCAGCGTGTACTTGGTCTGGAAATTACCACACATCAAGAATTACATAATTAAACCATAATCTTCAAGTGAAAAAAAAAAAAAAAGAATTACATAAGAGGGGTCTGGGGATGTAGCTCAGTGGCATAGCGCCTGCCTGGCAAGTGCGAGGTCCTGAGTTCAATTCCCAGTACCAAAAACAAAACAAAAATCACATAGGAGGCCGAAAATATAATTCAGTGGCATAAGTGTCTGCCTGGTAAGTACAAAGTCCTAGGTTCGATTCCCAGGGCCCCCACACACACCCCCCACCCCGCCAAATTATACAGAGTAAGTGTGAAGACCCTGACAATTACAGCTATAGCAGCACAGGCTACATCTTTTCCAGATCAGCAGGTGGGGGCCTTACTCCACCCCACTGACCCTAAGGCGGAGGTGTCCAGAGCCAGCTGGGGCTTATTTTGTTTGCACAGTGGAGAGACTACCGGGCTCCAACAACTAACCACACAGGTCCAACTCTGACAGGTTGCACCGAACTTTAAGGCGCTAGTGTCCACAGTGTTTCAGTGAAGTTGAGGGAGAGGATGGCACCTTATGCTGGGCGGCAGTACACGTGCTCACCGGATTACTTTCTTAGCTTTTGGTATGAAACGTTCCCAAGAACAACTTTAGGGACTAACATTCGTGAGTGGATTTCTGCGTTGGAAGGGGTCTCAGAGCCGCCTTAAGGCTCCCGCTCCCTAGTAATAAAACCCCAGCTTCAGAGTCCTCCGCGCCAGCTCATTCCTGGCTTTCAGGGTTTGAGTCCGTTTCCCTTTACCAGACTTCACCTGCCCCGCTCCTCCCTCCCTTCCGAGCAGCGGCCACTGCAAGGGGCAGGGCCTATAGGCCCACGGGTGCCGAGGCACTGCACGTGCCGGGGACTGGGGCCGGCGAGGGAGCGACACCGCCCCGCGTCCCGGCTCCGGTAGCTCCTCCCGGCCCGGCGCGGGCTCGGAGGTGCGCAGGTGCAGCCGCTAGGCCCGCCAAGCCCTAGGGTCCTAAGCGATTGCGGCCCGGCGGGCGCAGGGCGCCTGGAGGCCGGGGGCGCGCCAGGGGCCACCGCACCCCGCCCACCCGCACCGCCTCCCGCCCGCTCACCTTCCCGGCCACCCGGCCGAGCCGCACGATGCCCAATTTGAAGTCGGTCATGGCCAGGCCTGCGCTCTCGGCCGGCAGCACCGCTCCCTCGGGGGCGGCGGGCCGGACCGGGGCGGGCCGGGGCCGGGGTCGGGCCGGGCGGGCCCCGGGCGGACGAGGCTCAGCAGAGCTCGGGCCGCCACCACCGCCTCGCGCTAGGTGGACCTGCCACGCGCCGCCGCCGCCACCGCGCGCGTACCCCGCGGACGGAGCCAAGGGGGCGGGGAGGGGCCGGGACACACCCCCGGCGGCCGTCGCCCGGCCAATCGTGGGATGCGCCCTGCGCCGGCCGGCGCGCGCCGCCGCGCAAAGGCCAATGGGAGGAGAACGGATGCGCAGGCGCGCTGGAGGAAGGGCGAGCGCGGGGGAGGGGGAGGGGCGATCGGGGGCGGTGCCTGCGCGGCGGGCGTGTGGACGTCAGTTTCGCGGGAAGCTTTGTGCGCCGGACGGAGGCGGGAGCCCGCCTGACCGCCGCATCTGGACCTTGGCCGCCTTCCTCCGCCGCCTCACGGGCCTATGGCCCGCTGGGGTCGGCTACGGGTGCCCGTAATGGGCGCCACCGGACTCTCAAGCCCGGCGAACTTCACCCCCGGCCGTACAGTCTGGTCTCAGCACCAGCTCTCGATGTTGCGGAGAATCCGAGACGCGCTCAGTGGCGCCGGGTGTCTGGCGGAGAAGAGGCCACGTGGCCTGCAACCCGGCTCAGGCTCAGCCCCACGGATCCGAGGACCCTAAGTCCTGCAGTGTGGGAGAACGCCCCGAGGGCATCTGCAAAGGGTACTCATAGGCGAAGCAGGAGGCCCAACTCCTGGCCCAGGTTCCCAGAGCCTGCAGGAGCGGGTTGCCAGCAGATCGGCGCCTGAGACCAGCCCGAGCTTTACTGCTCAGAACACTTGTCCTGTAGGGAGATTGGATGAAGGGCTCGATAGGTGAAGCAGGTGGACACCCCTGGCAGTGGAGGCACTGCTCTTAGGGCAGGTACCCGGGAGGTTGACTTAAAACGGAACCATGACCACCTGGCTTGCTTAGGAGACCCCAGAGCCGGGTGAGGTAGCACACAACTGTAACCTGGGAGACTGAGGCAGGAAGATCACAAGTTTCAGCTAAGACTTAGCAATTTAGTAAGACCTTGTCTCAAAATAAGAAAGGGTGCTGGGGATTTAGCTCAGCGGCATAAGCGCCGCCTGCTTTGCAAGCGGGCAGTCGTGAGTTCAATCCCCCGTACAAAAAAAAAAAGAAAGGATGGGGAGATGGAGTTCAATACTAAGGCCCTGGGTTCAATCCCCAGTACTGCACCCCAAAACAGTGAGGCCCCAGGCAGGAAACGCCAATTGAAGTGGAGACGTGGCAAAGAGGGCTACTATGTCATCCTCAGGCGCAAGTCCCAGGGTGCTAGCCACTCCATCTTTCTGCCCACTGGCCTTAGGCTACCCTAATGAGATGGTTTCTTGGCTTAGGCTTCAAGCATCTGAAGCATAGGGTGCAGGAAGAGAAGGTGCTCCTGGTGGAGGAGTTGGCTGCAGTGCCTACTACTCCTGCCCCTTGGGTCTATGTGGGGAAGTTGGGTCACTGGGATTCATCTCTCACAGCTTCCATCTCCTGCTCAAAAACGCCTTAAAATTAAGTTCTTGGGACTAGGGGTATAGCTCAGCATTATGGGGCCGCCTGGCACATGTAAGTCCCGAGTTTGATTCCTGGTTCCAATAAATAAGTAATAAAATAAAGCACTGACCCCATGTCCCTTCCAGTTGCCACCTTGATTTTCTGCTGCCTTCCACAGTGGCTCTTGAGAGCTGTCTTTGCTTGTCTCTTTCTATATAGAGAGCTGGTGAGCTTGCTTTCTAGTACTTCATAGCAAACCACCACCAATATGGTGCATGAAAAGCACATACGTAGGGCCGGGGGTTTAGCTCAGTGGCACAAGTGCCTGCTTGGCAAGCACAAGTTCCTGAGCTTGACCCCTCGTACCAAAAAAAAAAAAGCACATATATCATCTCATGAAGGATTGTCTGGTCCAGGTTTCAAGGCTGAAGTAGAATTGCCCACCAGTGTGAGTGGGTTGTCTCTAGGATCAAGGGGTTCCACATGTTATGTAGGTCCCCATTTGCTGCTGATTAGATAGGGGTCCTTTCTTAACTTCTGGAGTGAAGGGGTGTCATCATCAAAAGCCCACACATCATTCTCTCACCCTGAATCTCTGACTCATCTCTGTGGCCTTCAGCTAAGGAAGTTCTCTGTTTTTGTTTTTATTTCTTTTTGTGGCACCAGGGATTGAACTCATGACCTTGTGCTTACCAAGCAGGCATTTATGCCACTAGGCTAAATCCCCAGCCCAGTTCTCTGTTTTTAAGGACTCCTATGTCTAGATTGAGCCCACCCAGAAAATCCAGAATAATCATTTCCTTATTTAAGGTCACTAATTAGTAACTTTGACATCTGCACAGTCCCTTTTGTGATGGAACATCATACAGATGTACAGGTTGCAGACATGAGAGCACTCTTCCTACCACCCAGTCTTTTGGCCACCCCAACCAGGCCTTCACCCTCCAGCCCTGTGAGAACAAAGTCAACTGAAAGCCCTGCTTATGGGGGGCAGGGGCCAGGAAATATAGGCCATACTAGAAAGTGGGAAGTATAAACTGGTATGGTGGCACACCCCTGTGATCCCAGCACTTGGGAGGTTGAGGCAGGAGAATCACAAGTTGGAAGCCAGCCTGGGCTACATGGTGAGTTCAAGGCCGGCCTGAACTGTATAGGGAAATCCTATCATGGGGTCCCCGCCATTGAGGGTCCCAGTGGAGGGTAGGGAGGTAGTCCTCCCTAATGGAGGAACTGGCTTGTGAATGAACAGTTGAGAGAGGGTGCAAGTCCTGAGTGTGAACATGGACATGTTTAGACAGAGAGGGGTGGTGCATTAGCTGTGGGAACACAGGCTTGGAGGCCAAAGTAGAAGCAGGAAGGCTCTCTGGGCAGTGAAAGAGGCCCCCTGTCGATGTCGCTCCCGGCTGGCAGGAAGGACACACGACAAAGTCTGGCAGTGGACAACCTTCTCTTTTATTTTTCTTCTCCGTACAGCCTGCCCTGGGATCGCTCCCAGCCGAAGCCTCCTTTGGTCCGCTCCCCGCGGCTCCTTCTGGGCTTCTACTTCCGGGCTTCTCCTTCCCCCCAGGGGCGGCACCAGTATATATATAGATACAGTGTCCAATCATGTTAAAGTGAGCAAGGCAAGCTGATTGGCTAACATCATCAGTTGCCAGGCAGACTATATTGTTGAGCGGGTTGCTTACGCGGTAAGCAGGAAACTAACGTGCTCGATGGGAGGGGTAATCTACCTCAGGCTTTACTCTTTACTACAGGCCTCACGTCCGCCAAGTGAGGCGACCGGGCTCGGGGCTGCGGCTCCCAACATCTCCCCCTTTTTTATTTTTTATGAATGTGCGCATCGTAGCCCTTTCTGGACTGGGTGCAGAGGCTTATGCCCTATGCGTAGGCCCACCATAGGTCCTTGGCTTAGACCCTGGTCGGCCGTCCCATGGTCTGCCAAGGCCCTGAGGCCCTCGTCCTTTATCTAGGGCCAGGCACAAACTGGACGGAACCTGGATGCACACAAGCTTGCACTCATTTCCTCTCCGTAAAGAAATCCCCTCGGAGAGAAATTTAGACCTGGGCAGCATCTAACAGTCCAGCGGCTTACGTGCAGGATGGGGTAGGGCCTGGCTTAGGTTGAGTCGCACCGGGGGAGTACGCTCTTACCCGTCATTGACTCTCCTACCCAGCTATGTCATAATTTTTTAGAGGAGGAGTGTGGGAAGCTCACCACCCCTAGACTCGGTCGTAGGCTAGGCGAGCGAGTCATGCATATGCCTGAGGATCTTCTTGTCCATTTCGGGCTACCGCTATTTTTATTCATCTTGTTGGTTGGTCTGTGATGGATCTCCGGTAGGGCAGGTCTGATCTTCAGTCGAGGGCTTTGTCGCCCGTGTCAGTCTCTCCGGTACCCACAGTGGTTCTCATCCCGATTCCTGTGGGAAAACACAAACCGCGCCTCGGTTCCAGCTGACCACTGGATCCGGGCCCATCCATTGTCCTGTCAGGACATCTTTCCACTTCACCCACCCTTTATGGTTGGGGGAAGGGTTGCAGTGCTCCACGGCTGGGGAGCAATTATCATTATTTAAATTTAAAAAATTGTGTGTGAATAGTGCCATGGATAATCGTGCCTTTGGGGCCAGGCCTTGGCCTACTCCCCCTTTTTGTTTTTGTAAAATTTCTTTGAGGCTTCTATGAGCCCTCTCAATGATTCCTTGACCTTGGGGATTGTATGGGATACCATGTTTTAATTGAACCTCCATCATTTTGCAGAACTCATTGAAGGCTTTGCCTATATAGGCTGGTCTATTATCAGTTTTTAATATTTTTGGTTTGCCCCATGCGGCCCAAGCCGCCAGGCAATGATTGATCACATTAGAAATTTTTTCACCTGTTTCTGCTGTTGCAAATATGACGTGAGAACAGGTGTCTGTGGAAACATGAACATATTTAAGAGTCCCAAACTCCTGTATATGTGTGATGTCCATCTGCCAAACATCACCAGGGATCAAACCTCGAGGGTTTACTCCCATCGGTATGGCAGGTTTGTATGTGGCACAGGAGTCACATAGTCGCACGATATCTCGTGCATCTGCTCTGGAAACATGGAAATGGTTTGCTAGTGTCCTGGCATTGACATGAAACTTATCATGGAAGGCACGGGCTCGCTCGATTGGTGTTAGTAAGGTAAAAATCCATAACGGGCGAGTGGCAGTATCAGCAGCCGCATTCCCCTGTGCCATAGGCCCTGGCAGGGATGTATGTGCTCTTATGTGGGTGGTGAAGACCTTATGGTGTCTGTTCTGAAGCAATGTCTGGATAGACAGGAACAGCCCAGCCACTGTGGAAGTGGATCTAATTAAACCGGCAGTCTCAAGCACTTGCATAGCATTGACCACATACCTAGAATCGGAGACAATATTAATGGCTTCTGAGAACCGTTCAAGAATCATTTTAACGATCTGCAGTTCTACCACCTGAGGCTGATCAGGTTCAAATTGTATGGTAACCGGGGGCTTGCCTAGGATCACATAGGCGCCTATCCCCGTCTTGGAGCCATCTGTGTATATTGTAGTTGCTGGGACTAATGGCTCAGAGGCAGTAACCTTTGGAAAAATTATAGGGTGCTG